GAGGCTGAAACCCATTCCGATGTTCCGTTCACTTTTCTAGAGAAGGGTACTTACGTCATCTCATAGTCTGTGTCCTTGTCCTTCCGACAGCAGCAGCAATAGGCTAAAATACCAATAACTATAATTGCAGCAACAACTCCACCAATGATGCCAGCGTAAAGAGCGATGTTCATGGATGCTGTACAGGAAGAAAAGAATTAGCCCTTTGCAGGGAGAATGCTCTGGAATGCAATCAGCACAATCACCAGTCTTCAAAGCCCGCCACCAGATGTCAGATTGGACTACCAGACCCAGTCTGAGTGGCAGCCACATTTCTTTTTTTACTACAGCAACTGGAATTAATTCTGTATTGAGTAGATAATAAGTTTGCGGGAGTGATTAGTTAGCTAGTGATAGGGAGGAGACCCCGGATCTGAAAACTTAGCTAGGATACTTTCTCTGGTTGCAACCCAGTTTCTTACGTGGCATAACGCTGACCGTCATGTTGCAAGATTCCCTTCCCACAGTGTTTGCTGAGGTGCAGATATAAAAGCCAGAGGTATCCGCCGAGATGTTCTTCAGAGTTATTACTTCCCCTGTTGAGAAAACCAAAGAACAGTCCAAAAAAGAAAAGAATTAAAGCAGGGAAGGAAGTGGGGACAGCAGCCCTTCAATTCTAGTCCCAGGTAGTGGAAGTTAAAGAGAGGTTATTAAAGTTGATGGATTGCTCTGCTTCGCTCGGGAGCTGCCATGCTAATCACCAGGTTTTAGTGTAATTGGTGGGAGGACAAACGGAAGTGTGCTGTTTTGATTATAGGGAGCGTGTGGCATTTGAACATTCATTCTAGAAAGAAAATTGTAGGTGGAGGGTAAGGAAGTATGTGTGCTTAGTGAAAGCTTCTTTTGCGTTGGATTTTTTTGAGGCACAAGATGGCCTAAAGCAGCACCTGGCTTGGAGAACTGGCCATCTGACGAATTAACTTGTAGAACAACAAGCTCTTCAATCCTCCAGCTCTTAAGATTTCAGATCTGAATTACTTACCAGTGGGGAAAATTGTTTCCTAGTCTGACAGAGGCCACACAGTCTGAGAAGATAAATTAAGGAAAAAGAACCACAGTGACATGGGATTCCTGTGATACCGATGTTTTCCATCCAACCTAACAGAGCTCAGAACCGTGTACTAAAGCTTAGCTCCGTCTGCTCGAGCAGTCAGTTTTTACTTGGTACATCTCCAGCTGACGTTTGTATGTGTAGCCTGCGTGTTTGTGATCTACTGATAAAGGTCCAGATTCCTGCTCTAAAACGAAAAGTCTCTGAATACTTTTGAGTGACTTTCATTTTTCCTGTGATCTCACGTCTTTCCAGCCTGCTCACGGGACTGGGATTTTGTTTAGCCTCTGCTGGCGCCTAGCGCCGGATAGTGAAAGAGCAGGCAAACCAAGAAATAACAGACTGCGTGTTTGGGGTTTGGTTGTTTTGTTTTTTTTTTTAGTCTCTGCATCTTGTCGGTGCTCACTTTTCTTTGGATTGTTGTGGGTTTTTTTTCCCAGTGTGATGTTTGTAGCACTCAGAGTTGGAGTCTATACCCTGACTGCAAATCCTCCTATATTAAATCAAAAGTCATTGACTGGTGAGTCAAATTGGCAAAAATGAGGGTCAGATACTATCAGTTTTGGAGTGGCTCCTGAGGAGATCCTGCCCATGCTGCTGCACTGGGACTTGCTTAGCACAGGTCCTTGGCATGGAAAGGAATCGCTTGTAGTGACAGCAGGGCGTCCAGCCAGCGCGGGGCAGAAGGGGACAATCAGTGCACAGTTTGGATATCGGTTTCCTGATGAAAACAGAAATGAGGTGGAAATGGATCAGAAGAGACTCTTGTCCCGGGGAAGAGCAGGATGATGGCAGAAGCTGTAAGGGGACAACACGTGGTGTGTTCAAGGCTGTGCGTGATGCGTTGGCACCGCTTAGTGGCCAGTCAAATGAATAAGCTTTGTGACCCTGGCAATGCTTGATCTTTAGCATAATTGATGCAAGAATCGGCTAGTGAGTGTTAAATATCTTGTGGAGTCTGAATGTATTTAGTTTACCTCCATAGTGATGCTACAAGAAGTTAAACCAGGAAGGGTAGGTTCAGACTCTCAGTCTTTCTGGAGCTGGACATACCAGGAAGAAACAAAGTTGTTGAAAGGAATAAATCTGACTCTCCTGTCATTACTACACTTCAGAGAGTATTAAACTCATATTTCTGTGTGAAGAGGTCTACTAGAGATCCCCGCCATAGAAATTCAGTTCCTTTTTTTCCTAGATTCTGACTTTACATGGAAGCAAACAAAATATTGGGGCCTGTGTGACAGTCCTAAAGAATCAGAAGCCTCTTTTATGCTCAAAGCAGGAACAGTGTAACTGTTTCTTATCCCACCTTCCTCTAGGTGAACAGTAATCTCTGTAAAGAAAGTAGCTTCAAGAGCCGATTTTTATTTGCCTTCAGCCCAGAGAGCACCCCCATTACTGACAAGCAAGCTGGGATATAAAGACACATCAGTTAGAAAACTCGATGTTATGCCTCATGTTATGCCGCCATTACACTCAGCAATTGAGAAGTGATTATTTCTGGCTCCTTCCAGAGAGGGTCAGCTTTCTTGCTAGCAGAGAGCTGAAGTGAAAATCTTAATGACTATTGCTACCTCAGGTAACAGTCCTTTTCCCCCTTGCTAAATTATTCATGAGTGTGTCTTGTATGAAAAGGACAACTTTTCAAAATCCTAGTCAGAGAACTTCCTAGAAAAAGCCATAAGTGTGCAGTTTTGTATTTGCATTTCAAAATCTTTCCAACTCTGATCTACAGAGAGCGCAGAGATTTGATTTCAAATTTGTTTTTGAATTTCCCATACCTTCTGTGGTTTGTAGCACACGGGGATTGTTTTGTACGTCAAAGCTTTGCCAGGTATATTTAGGCTTTGGGGAGCCCTCGTGAGAAATGCAGGTCAGATTAATTGTCTGTCCATATTCTGCTGTCCCCAAAATGTTGCATTCTGGCTCGGATGGTGCAACTGAAGGAAGAAAAAAGGAAGGAATTTAATTAATCTGAAGTAGTTTATTGTTTCAACCCATCTCCTGCACTTACGTTCTTTATTCTTGCTAAACAGAGACCGGTCTTGTACCTACCACCTTCTCAGAGAAACTGGAGTGAACTTGTCTCTAGTTTGTTTCTTCTTTCTTGGCACTGGTCAGCCAAGAAGGAAATGTAAGATGCTTTTTGGAATATGTCTAGCACTGTTGGGTAGCTCATCCTTAAATAACAGGAGTAACGAGGCTGGGGAAGGGACTGGAGGGAAAGTCCTGTGAGGAGAGGCTGAGGGAGCTGGGGGTGTTCAGCCTGGAGAAGAGGAGACTCAGAGGGGACCTTCTCACTCTCTACAACCACCTGAAGGGAGGTTGCAGTCAGGTGGGGGTCGGGCTCTTCTCTCGGGCAACCAGTGACAGGACGAGAGGGCACGGCCTGAAACTGCGTCAGGGAGGGTTTCGGTTGGATCTCAGGAGACACTTCCTCATGGAGAGGGTGCTCAGGCACTGGGATGCACTGCCCAGGGAAGGGCTGGAATCATCATCCCTGGAGGTGTTTAAGGAGAGGCTGGATGTGGCACTTAGTGCTGTGGTCTGGCCGATGTGGTGGTGATGATGATCTCAGAGGTCTTTTCCAGCCTCAACAATTCTGTGATTCTATGACAAGCCAAAGGGAGAGAGTAAGGAATGCCTGTAGTAGGGCAAGGGTTATTAGGAAAGCGAACTACACAACTCTGAAGACTATTTCCTGTAGCCAGGTGTCTGCGTGAGTTGGGGGCTCTAAGCCTTCCAGCCTACTTCTATACTAGTAGGAAAAGACCAAAGATGGAATTGTGGGTGATGACTTCCTGATAATGTTTTTTTCTCTTAGAAAATCTGTTGTCTAAAACAACGTGGATATTAGAGGAAGGGCAGTTTAATCTAATGGATCTGCCATTGCCTCCATCATGCTTACCAAGGACGAAAAGAGATAGGATTGCGGTCTTTCTCGGCGAGTCATTCCTTAGACGAACGCTGCAAGCGTATGTCCCGTTGTCCTCCATGGTCACTGCGTTTATGGTGATACTGATGTCCCCTTTGTCTACGTCACCACTAAACTGTATGCGATTTTCATAGCCCTGGCCATACTGTATGAGTCCATCAAAATACCTGGTGACAGCATCGTTCTGATAGAGAGGGAGGGAAAACAGTCAATCCTGGTTTCTTCTGCTTGAGTCTACAACCTTACCCAATGCATCAGCCCACTCCTAAGAGAAGAGCAGCTTGGAAAATAGGGCCTTCAAACTGACCCATTTTGCAAAAAAATCCAGGAAAACCCATACGAATTCAAAAGGGACTGAGTTTCTGTCTAGAATCCTCTTCTCCCATCTTAGCAGAAGTTGGAGACAACTGATTTGTTTTGCTGGGGCTTATTCACCCTTCCCCACCATGAGACTTGTCTGAGATCCATACGTCAATCAAATTTCACTATGATTATGCAGACTCCCTTCCTTTCTTCCAGCAAGGATCTTCAGAGAAGAAACCCTTGGCAGTTACTGGATGGAGATCTCCAAAGGCTGCTTCCCCTCTCACTAATTCCCAGGAAGTCAAGGTAAACTTTAGAGGTCTCCTTACCTTCAAATACTCCATATGAATGTAGGAGACCTCAAGAATCTCTCCATGTACTGTTAACATCAAGATAAAACTTTCTATATATCTCATATATATATATGTAATATAT